GGAAAATGGGTGAGTCAATACATGGTCAGTAAGCTGAGAAGCTACACTTTACTTTTCCACCATTAAATAGAATAGATAGAAAAACATGATGCAATAATTTATGTACAGAGTAGCATCCTGTAGAGAGAGAAAAAAAGGCCGTAAATAAACTGGGTTCTTGTGTTTGTGGGTGATGCATTTTAAAAGTGTATTTCTTGTAGAGATAAACAAGAATTGGAAGTTGGGGTGTGGGAGAGAAAACATGCATGGAATGACATGCAGCAGTGGTCAGGCCCTCTGGGAGCTGAACCCAGCATGGGAAAAGCATCAACCATGCAGCAGCCACACATTAAATACATAAGGCACGTACTGCACACTGCTGGTCGGAAGATTTTTCTCATATTCGTAGGCCAGGTCAAGACAAAATTTCATATCCCCGTTTTTCTCCTGGCCTTCTCTGACAGCTATTTTAAAATGCTTTTACTGTATTGTTTTATAAGGAGAACAACCACAGGGCAAAATGAGTAGCGGTACCTGCTGTAGGCCTACTGATTATTACTCTCTTGAAAAGTGAAGTGTTGCATCTCTAACCATGTACTGTTTCAACTACTTAATAAAGTCAGTTACGTACCTAATGGGGCAGCTTGGACCTGAGTCTTACTAAAAGAAAGTGTCATGATGAGTTTTTAAAGAAGTGGCCAATTTGAAGTTGCATGATGGGAAATATGGTAAATGTCAGGATATTACTGTAACGTGCCATAAAATGAATAGAAAGACTGACAGAGGTTCATCAAAGTCAACATCGTTTCTTTATTTATTGACTTATAAGCCCACCTCTACTCAATCACACAAGCACAAATGTTGTATTTACATGTGTGTAAAGATGTGTAAAGATCCAAATTTCAGATTGTCTCATACCATTATGAATGCCAAACTAGGAGTTCTTTTCCCTAAATTACAACCTGTCCAATTACCCAGTCGGTTCTGTTCGAGGAAATTAATAGGAAAGTTTGGCACCCGTGAAATGAAGTGTTACCCCTTTGTTCAATTTTCCTCAACACCCACTTCTATTAGGGCCTACTTGTTAAAGTGTGCCAAGCTGGGAATGTGCAATAAAAAAGGTTGAAACTAATTTGGGTAACAGACAGTTAGCAGTTGATGGCCTTTAGCTTCCACACTGCAGTCTGGTTTTAGGACAGTGTTTTGTCATTGCAGTGTTTTCTTCTGGATCCTTTTACTGAAATTTCACTTTCCCTGCTTTTTTTTTTTTTTTTTTT